GTTCATTCAGTTAAAAGGTCTTAACCTGAAGTTTCCCTGAGCAAGATGAAATTCTGTCTCCAGACAACAGCATCAGCTTGGGCCGGTGAGTGCCCAGCTGCCAGCCTGCCCTGTGAATCTCAGACTTGCTGGTCCCACAGTCATGTAAGCCAGTTCCTCAAAACCTGTCTGTTTTATTTTCTCTGTCCCACATACCCACAGTGTACTTACACAAAAATGGCTACCATTCACAAGACAGTAAAATATCATGACATCACTGTTGTATGTACAGTCCATCATTGACATCCTCTGAAACACGGTTATGTGACAATGACTTGTGTGTGTACACATATTGAGTCATCTCAGAGACTCAAAGCCAGCTGTTCCAAGCCACCAACTAGTAAGTGGCAGAACTGGGATGCTCAAGCCTTTTGATTCCAGAACCCAAGTACTTCCCAAGGGCCCGGCTGCCTGCCTGTCTGTTGCGGCCTCGGGAGGGAAGCCAGTCTTTAGGGGTGGCCGTGAGGGTCAGAGAGAATGTTATAAAAGCACCATATTTCATAAGCATGATGGGGTGGTGAAACGTTTTCTGAAATAGCTGACAAAGAAAATCAAGGCCCTGAGGTGTTCTGTTTGTTGACTACGCACTGTTCCTTATGATCTTGCCTCTCCTCTCCTGTGCAGAGAACTCAACCCTTTTCACATGGTCCACCTCTTCAAGTTACTATTTCTGCTCACATTCTTAATTTAATGGCTGCAATCCCTCCTTCCAGATATCCAGGCTCCTTAAGGCAAGTCCACTAGAAACTAGAAGCATAAACTTGAATGACAGTGGACTGAATGCAGACCCTAACCCTGGGGCTCTTCGCCAGGTCTCTGGTTTCCTCATGCTCAGCCCATGATTAATGAGTATGCTTCACTCGACCCTGGCCATTAGTCCCCCCTCTTAGTTTTAAAGATTGGGGTGTAGTTTTCAGATAATAGCATTCATCTGTTTTTCCAAGTGTACAGTTTGATGAGGTCTGACAAATGCATGCAGTCATGTGACCACCATTTCAATCAAAATATAGACTATTTCCTTTAGCCCCAAAGTTCCCTTAGACCCTTTTGTGGTCAATCCCACCCCCAAACAGCCCAGTCCTTGGCAACCATTGATAAGTTTTTCCCTCTCTCATTTTGTCTTTTTTAGAATGCCGCATGAATCAAGTCATTAAGTGTTGGCCTTTTTGCCTGGCAGTTTTCACTTAAAAGAATGGTTTTCACATTCACTCGTGTTGTTTCATGTATCTGAGTTTTATTTTTACTTCCATATTACCTTCCATTGTACAGACGAACCATCATTTGTTTATGGGTTGACCAGTTGACAGATGTTTGGCTTGCTTTCAGTTTTTAGCTATTATGAATAAAGCTGCTATAACTGTTCATGAACAGGTCTTTGTACACATAATTAGTGTGAAGTGATATTTTATTGTAGTATGAGTTTGCTCTTCTCAGATGATGAACAATGTTCTGCATTGTTTTTCTAGGGCTTGGGGGTCATTAGGCTATCTTTAATGGAATATCTATTTAAATATTTTGCTTCTTTTAAAGTATAGTTATTCGTATTTTTAACTTAAGCTTTCAATTTCAAAATAATTATAGATCCACAGGAAGATGCAGAGAAGTGTACAGAGAGGCCCAGCATCTCCTTCACCCTGTCTTACCCCGTGTTAGCATCTTGTACAACTATAGTACATAATCAAACCAGGAAAATGATGTTGGCACATCCTGTGAAGTCCATGCAGATTCTCCAGTAAAATACACATTTGTGTGTGCAGGCATATGTTTTTGTGTTTGTGCACACAGCTCGCTGCCATTTTACTACCTGTGTGGCTTCCTCTTTTCCACCCCACAATCTGGGTGGCTAACTATCACCACAAGACTGCTTTATGTTGCTCCAATGTCTTTGCTCCTCCACATGGCTAGCCCCTGGCAGCCACTAATCTGTTCTTCATCTCTAGGAATATGTTATGTTACATAGATTTTCTGTTTGTATCCTTTGAGACTGGTTTCCTTCATTCAGTATGATTTTCTTGGTAATCATCCAAGTTGATACATGTATCGATAGTTTGTTCCTTTTTACTGCTAAATGGTATTCCATAGTATTCATTTGTAACCATTCATCCATTGAAGGATATTTGCATGGTTTCTAAATTTGGCTCTTATAAATAAAGCTACTGTGAATATTTGTGCAAATGTTTCTGCCTGTAAATAAGTTTTCATTGCTCTGGGATATGTGCCCAAGAATGTAATGCTGGGTTGTATGGTCAGCCTAGTTTTAAAAGGAACTTCCAAACCATTTTCTAAAGGGGCTATACCACCTTACACTTACACCACAGTCCATTTTCTCTGCATTCATGCCAGCCCTTGGTGCTGTCACTGTTTTTTATTTAGCTGTTTATCAGATCCTAAGATTCTATATATGTTTTGTTAGATTTATGGTTTTAATTTCCTTGGAGTGATTGTGAGTGGTAATGTGTTTTTTTTTTCCAGTTTCTGTGTGTTCATTGGTAATGTATACACATGCAGTTGACTTTTACATGTTAATCTTGTATCCCATTGTGACCTTTTGTACTCAATAATCTCTTGAGTTTTTTATTAGATTTCTAGAGGGTTTTGAGGTCTTTTGGGTTTTTTTTTTTTTTTTTTTGGTTTGTTTGTTTTTCAATCATGCTGTCTGCAAATAAAAATAGTGGCTTTTTAAATTTTCAGCAACTCCTCTGACAAGGAGTTAATATCCAAAATTTATAAATAACCGAAAAAAAAAAACCCTCAATGCTAAAAGACAAATAATCTAATCGATAAGTGGGCAAGAGAACTAAACAGAAATTTCTCAAAGAACCACAAATAACCAATAAATATATGGAAAAAAAGTTCAACATCTTTAGCAATCAGGGAAATGCAAATCAAAACTACATTAAGATTTTATCTCCAGTTAGAATGGTAATTATCAAGAATACAAATAATAAATGTTGGTGAGGATGTTGGGGGGAAGGTACACTCATACATTATTGGTGGGACTGCAAATTAGTACAACCACTTCGGAAAGCAATGAGGAGATTCCTTAGAGAACTAGGAATGGAACCACCATATGCCCCAGCTGCCCCGCTTCTTGGTATTTATCCAAAAGAACTAACATATTGAAGCGATACAGCCACTACAGTGCTTATAGCAGCACAATTCACAATGGCCAAATTATGGAATCAGATGCACATCAATAGATGGATGGATCAAGAAAATGTAGTATATATACACAATGTAGTTTTTACTCAGCCTTAAAGAAGAATGAAATGATGGCATTTGACGGTAAATGGATGTACCTGGAGAACATCACACTAAGTGACATAAGCCAGACTCTGAAAGTCAAGGGTCAGATGTTTTATCTAATATGTGAAAGCTAAAGCAAAATAAGGGAAAGAAGGCAGTGTGGGGAGGGAAATTGGATATCATAAAGACACAGGGAAGATCTGTGGAATAGAAGGAGATGGAAATGAAAGGGAAAAAATACAGAATGAAGCTAACAGAATCATGTTACATACACATATAAATGTACCAAAAGGAACATCTCCTGTGTGAATATGTAAAAATACCAATGAAAAATAAATAAAAGAGTGAAAGGAAGATCAGTAGGAAAAGGGAGGTGGGTGGGAGTTGAAATCAAATTCCTTCCATGTATAATCAAAAG